GCGGGGGAAGCCGGTGCCTCCTGGATCCCACCGAGCTCCCATCTCTGCTTAACCTCTAATTTGGCAAGGAAAATCCCTGCTGGCCTTCTGCCCTGCTCAGGGAGCTCAGCTGACTCGCCGCGACGGCACAGGGCCGTGCCGTGCCCCTGCAGGTTACCCCTGAGCTGGTGGGGAGCTGTGTGGGGACCCCCCGCCCCGAGGTGCCCCAGCCTGGCCCTGGGGCTGGGGGGGTCCCAGCAGCCTGCGGGTGCCATTTAGTGAGAGACAGGGCTGGTTTCCTCAGGGTGCCAGACACCTTTTCTGACCCAAAAATAGACTCCCCAGGAACACGGGGCAGGCTTGGGCAGGAGATGCTGCTCAATGTTAAAATAATGCTAAAAGCATTTAAGCAGATATTTGCACAGTTGGGTTTTATTTTTGGCTCGGTTAAAACCATGTGGGTGCAGCTTGCAGCCAGGTGAAACCGCCACTGGGTGCTGGCTGGGGAGCCCAGCATTGGCCTGTGCACGTGGGGAGCTGAGCCAGCAGCACCCCCGCTCGGGGCAGCGACAGGGCACAGGTGATGCCCCGGGGCAGGGGTTTGTGTCAGGCGAGCAGTGGAGCTCCCCTCCAGCGACAGTACAGAGGGGTCACCCCGGGGCAGCAGCCACAGAGGTGAAGGTGCTTTTTTCACCTCCCCGTGCTTGGGGGAGCTCAGTGGAGAGCCGAGGCCCAACCTCTGCCTTCAGGGCTGCGCTGCCCTGTGTCCCCAGAGCAGGCGGCCCGCAAGCCCTGCTGCTTTTGAAGACACTCAGTCCTGTGAGCCCTTGGGGCTGCTGCTTGCTGCATGTGACCAAGAGGCCTCCAGCTCCCTTAGCTCCTGCTAATGGAGAAACTTTTGTTTGCCACTTCCATGTTTCTTTCTGCAGCCTGCTCCCACCTCGCTGCCGTCCCCCCGCACGGCAGCTCCGTCTGTCAGGGCTGCGGCTGGGTCCTGCGCTCAGCCTCCCCGTGCGGCTCAGGGCACCCGCTGCAAGGGAAAAACGGGATGAGAGATGCAATAACACTAGTCCCATGAACGTCCCTGTGAGCCTGTGAAACTCACTCTCACGAGACAGTGCTTGGCAGGAGCACTGGAACAAGCTCGGCCGGGCTCTGCCATGAAGCAGCCAGCCTCTCCTTCCTGCAGTGTCATCCGGCCGCGCTGGCCAGACCGGCTGCTGAACACTTGTGGCTGGGAACCACTTCCCATCTTGCTGGGTTATTCCTCTGCTGGCCAGTCCGTGCTGCTGGGTCCCTCCTCCAGGCACATGGGGGTCCTTACCGGGACAAATGCAGCTCCAGAGGGGCTGCAGGAGCCGCCTGGACGTGTCCACGCTCCTCAGGAGGTGAAAAGCTCTGCGGTGCCCAGGCGAGAGCTCGCAGGGGCCTTGCCTGCTCCTTCCCCTTCCCGCTGCCCCCGCTGGCTCTTTGCATTAGCATCCATGGCAGCTTTGTTCATGCTTCGAAGGGAACACATAACCCCATGCTGCTGCTGTGAAATGCAGAGCTCCGAGACATGCGTCTGTGGTAAGACATGGTCTTTTGAAATCGGATACCACTGGGGCTGCAATGTCCCAGTTTCTCTCCGCTAACGTCCCCGGTTTGGTTTTCCCGTCTGCTTTTCTGGCCGCCTGCAAGTTGGCAGCTCTCGCCTGGCGTTTCTCTTCGCTGCCTTGTATGAGAGTGTGTATGCTTTTTCCTTCCTTCGTGGGCTCAGCTGTAGATCCTTGTTTGGATTCCATGCAAAATGACCTAGAAAACTAATTCTTTTCAAACCATTGCAAGAAGAAAAAAAAAAAAAGAGGTCGGGGGGAGAAAACACATTGAAATAATTTTCTGGAGAAAATTTTTTTCCAGAATTCAAACCCCAGAAATCTGCTTTAGTGCAACACTTCACATCTCGCTTGCCTTCTTTCCCACATCATTTTCTGGGGTGAGGAGCAGGAGGTTTGCAGAAATCCAGTGGCAATGTCATGACAGACAAGTATTTCCTTAATCAAGACAGCCAAGTGACCTCTGTTACGGCCTAGGATGTGGGCCAGGCTTTGATATCTAGATAAGCTCTGAAAATGTTTCCATTACCAAAAGAAAAACAAGCAGGCACCAGGCTTGGAAATGGCCAGAGCTAATTGCTGTGCTTAGGAAAGGTAAAGCCACCTTTGATGCACCGGGAACCCTGCCTGCTCCTGCCACACTTACTTTTTCCACGTGTCTCAAATCTCCCCTAATCTTTTCCCTTTGAGAAAATCTCAGTGGTGGCGGATCCCAATGCTATGGGTGTCGAATGCCCAGGCTGGGGGCCGGGCTGGCAGACCTCGGGGACCCCCCTGCCTCCTCCTCAGTGCCATGCCGGGCACTCAGCCTCATGTTCTGCTCCCATCCCAGACGGGATCCATTCCCACCCTGGGAACTTGCCTGCACAGATCTGTTCCCAACCAGAATGATCTACCTTGGGCAGATTCGGTTAAAACTCACCCAAGATGTCAAGGACCTTTCCTCTGCCCTTCACGTTTCTCGTCATAGTCCCGTGTACATGTGACTGCCAAGTATTGCCTTCTTTTCAAGCTTCCCGAAAAAGAGTTTGTCAGATTTATTCTTTCTCACCCATTCCCTGTGTCACGTGGGAAGCGACACCCTGCCTGGGCCGGCCTCAAGGAGTTATTTATGCTCACGTCTGCGCTTTAAGTGCCGAGCTGCGGTGGGCATGTAATCTGGCTCTCCTCGGCTTTGTAGTCTCTCAGCCCATTAGTTTCTTTCTTATATCCGTTTGCAAAAGACCTCTATAAATTCTTTAAATGTCAAGTGGTTATGGCCTATTCCCAGCTGGGCTGACTCATTTGGATGTTACTGAGGTTGCATTTCCCTTGCAGCTATTGGCTTTTCCTCCACCCCCAGTGTTTTGTGTTTTTTTTCTTTTTGGTGAGTTTTTCTCTGCCTTGCTGGACACGGGAGCTGAGCCAGCGAGCACCGCAGGCATGTCTCAACCCATATGCTCTTTGCTCTCTCAAGTACATGTCCAAGAGTTTTCTTTTTAATCCAAAAGGATTAAAGGTCTCCTGAGGCCCTGGACTTGAGGGATGGGGCAGAGGGATTATCCTCAGCCTTGGCTCGCTCTGTTGCCATCCTCTCGGCTGAGCCCAGGCAGGAGCGACTGAATCCCACGGTGCTTTCGAGGCTGCTGGGAAGTGAGGCAGCGAGGTTTGAATCCAGCTCCTAAAAAAAACCCCACGGTAGGTCATCACAAAACAACATTGCTAGAGCCGATGGCAATTGCTGGTCTTGTTGACACCCTCTGTGGAGGGATGGATGGAGTAAGGCTTGGATTAATACCCTGGGCTCTGGCCAAGGCCTCGCCTCAAGGCAGCCCTGCTGATGTGGTGGCCCAGGAAGCCGCTGTGGCCATGTTTAAATAAAACCATTTCTAGAGAAGGACAGTTGTGCAAGTGCAGACCCGGGCAGGGCTGAAGCCCCTGGATTTAACATCCTGAGGGCATCATGCACCAGCCACACTCCTCTGTCTGCCGCCAACCCCAGTAAAGCTCCCTGTCTCCTCTCTCCACAGACATGCCACCGCTGCTGCCGATGGACCTCAAAGGGGAGCCAGGACCACCAGGGAAGCCTGGCCCACGTGGACCCCCCGGGCCCCCCGGCTACCCAGGAAAGCCGGGCACGGGGAAGCCGGGAATGCACGGCCAGCCCGGGCCTGCTGGGCCCCCCGGCTTCTCGGGCATCGGGAAACCCGGCATCCCAGGACTCCCCGGAAAGGCGGGTATGAAAGGGATGCCAGGAGCCAAGGGCGAGCCCGGCATGCGAGGAGAGCAAGGACCAAGAGGACTGCCTGGCCCCCCAGGGCTGCCGGGGCCAGCCGGCATCTCAGTCAATGGGAAGCCGGGCCCTCAGGGGGGCCCTGGCCTGCCTGGATTTCGGGGCGAACCTGGCCCAAAAGGAGAGCCAGGTCCTCGCGGAGAGCGAGGGATGAAGGGTGAAAATGGCGTGGGGAAGCCAGGGTTACCGGGGCCCCGGGGAAACGGGGGCCCTCCTGGCCCCGCGGGGCCCCCAGGGCCTGTCGGCATTGGAAAGGCCGGCCTCGACGGCCTGCCGGGCGCGCCGGGGGAGAAGGGCGACATTGGCCCTCCGGGTGGGCCTGGCATCAACGGGGAGCCTGGCCCCATCGGGCCCCGCGGGCCCCCCGGCATCGACGGGATCGGTGTCCCAGGCGCCGCGGGGGTGCCGGGGATACAGGGCCCCATGGGACCGAAGGGAGAGCCTGGGATCCGCGGCCTGCCTGGTTTGCCGGGTCCAACAGGCTACGGGAAGCCGGGCTTGCCCGGCATAAAAGGAGACCGTGGGCAGCCCGGGGTGCCAGGCATCATTGGCGATAAGGGGGAACCCGGCGTTGACGGGGAGCCTGGTGAGCCAGGACCTGCCGGCATCATTGGGCCACCAGGCCCACCAGGGTCCATGGGCCTGCCAGGCAAGCATGGGCTGCCTGGCTCCAAAGGGGACGTGGGGCCGAGTGGGCCCCCGGGAATGCCGGGGATGCGTGGCGACCAGGGCCCCAACGGCTTTGCGGGGAAGCCGGGGGTGCCAGGAGAAAGGGGCCTGCCTGGATCACTGGGACCCCCTGGCCCAACGGGCCCCAAAGGAGAACCAGGGTTCATTGGCCTCCCGGGGGTGCCAGGATTAACGGGCGGCCCTGGGCCAAAAGGGGACGGTGGGATCCCGGGGCAGCCAGGGCTGAGGGGCCCCTCTGGCATCCCGGGCTTGCAAGGACCCGCGGGTCCCATGGGGCCTCAGGGGTTACCAGGGCTGAAAGGTGAGCCTGGGCTCCCTGGGGTTCCCGGTGAGGGGAAGACAGGTGAGCCTGGCATGGCTGGACCCATCGGCCCCCCGGGAATGCCGGGAAAGGGGACGGTGGGATCCCGGGGCAGCCAGGGCTGAGGGGCCCCTCTGGCATCCCGGGCTTGCAAGGACCCGCGGGTCCCATGGGGCCTCAGGGGTTACCAGGGCTGAAAGGTGAGCCTGGGCTCCCTGGGGTTCCCGGTGAGGGGAAGACAGGTGAGCCTGGCATGGCTGGACCCATCGGCCCCCCGGGAATGCCGGGAACGCCAGGGCTGAATGGGCCACCAGGCCCGCCCCACCCGGGCCACCAGGAGCGCCCGGGGTGTTTGACGAGACGGGCATCGCTGGGCTGCACCTGCCAGATGGCGGCGTGGAGGGGGCCGTGCTGGGGAACGGCAAGCCCGGGAAGCCGCAGTACGGCCGAGGCGAGCTCTCTGCCTGGATCGCACCAGCCTTCACCGCCATCCTCACCTCTCCCTTCCCGGCATCAGGCATGCCAGTCAAGTTTGACCGAACTTTGTATAATGGGCACAACGGCTACAACCCGGTCACCGGGATATTCACCTGCCCCGTATCCGGCATCTACTACTTTGCCTACCATGTGCATGTCAAAGGGACTAACGTTTGGGTGGCGCTTTATAAGAACAACGTGCCCGCCACCTACACCTACGATGAGTACAAAAAGGGCTACCTGGACCAGGCCTCGGGCAGTGCCGTGCTTGAACTCAAGGAGAACGACCAAGTCTGGGTACAAATGCCCTCCGACCAGGCCAACGGGTTGTACTCCACGGAATACATCCACTCCTCCTTCTCCGGGTTCCTGCTTTGCCCCACATAACGGCTGTTGGGCTTGTTTCCTTTTCACCCACTTTAGCCATAAACTGTCCTTTTTTTTGATAAAAAAGTTTTTTAAAATTAATACAAAAAAAGAAAAATCACTGGGAAGAACGCGCAAGCCGTTGTCGTGGGACCTTGCTTCATGCTGCTTGATCCATGAGTCAAGAGGGTAATCGGAAAGGAGACATCCACCTTTCTTCCTCTTTTGGGGGAGGGAGAAGGGAGGGAGGGGAGTGACTTCCTCAGCAACGCGTATTTGGAATAAATTTTACCCTAGTGACTGTCCATCAAACACAGGAACACGCTTGGGATGGCAAGGATCTGGCTCTGCAGTAAACTGCTCTGTGATCCAGAGAGGGTCTTCCGGAAGATCAGACCCTTCTGGTCTGTAATCAAGCGCCCTCGTTTCCCATTTTGAGTACTAGTTAAACAAACACAGCTGTTGTAACGGATGGTGTACTGGCTAACCAGCACAGGGGTCCTAGGCACTTAACACAAACCTGTACAGCAGCAGAGATCCACGATGGATAGAGAAATCTCCTCCCCGAACCATCAGACGCCCCAGTTTCAGTCTCGGTGATGCCTGTTTTTTCAGACTGCGCTTTTGAGGCAGTCTCCCTGATTCACTCCGGATTCAGTGTGGTTGGATTTAGAATCACAAAAAGTGGAACACTTTGCGTAAGCACCTTCTTAGAAGAAGTAAATATTATTTTTAACCCTTCCCCACCCAGCACCTTTAGGAATAAAAACATCCAGGCATTGCTATCTGGGAGGATGACAGACGACCTACTCCAAAGCCGTCGAGGGAAGCCGGGACCCCTGTGATGAACAACAATCCTCTCTCTCGGGTTAACGCATCTACTGGCAAGTCCAAGGGCTACTTCTGTCCTGTTTCTTTGCAGCCCAAAGACTTGCTTGGCCTCGTGAGCATCTCATTCCTTGACAAGACAAGGATGGCACTGCAAGCCCGGCTTACGGTGCTTCTAGCCTGGTTTGACAGAAGGTTTAGTTATGCTTTCTCGAAAGTGCCACTTACGGACAACTTGCTTTTACTGTCTCACTATTTCGGGATGTGTAAACTTTTGCATTGGTATCCCCCCTTTCTCTGGGGACCTTTTAATTAAGAAAAAAATAGTGTTCAGTCTAACTTTCCATTCAGTCATTTTACAACGGTGCTATTATCTACTTAACAATGTTATTGACAAGTCTAGTGCAATATGTACCTGTAAAAGTGCGCCACTCCGGGTGCCAATCTGTGACTTAGGTTAAAAAAAAAAAAAAAAAAATCACGTTTGTCTGTTGTTACCACTTTGTCTCACTAATGCTTGAAACGTTACCCACCTGAATATGAGCTACAAGGTTCTGGGAAAGGTATGCACGGCCACTGACCGCTGTCTGCTCTGTCCTTCGCTAAAGGGAGCAACCGAACCCTGGTGCTTTGCAGGTTTTCTTGTGGTAGAATAGGCCTTGCCACTCGCACTTACAGTAAAGCGATTCTTCTCATCCCAGGCAAGTAGCACGCTGCTGAAGTCGACCCACATGTGTTACACCGCCTGTCCCTCCACAGAGGCACATCCCTGAGAAAACAGCAACAATTTGGTCACCAGCTGAGCAGCTATTGCCCTTAAATTGTCCTAAAGCCTGTTCCATGGCCAAAGAAATGTAGCAAGAACGGGACTTGGGATTGTTCTCCAGAGGGACTGTACAAGATATTTAAACCAATTTTCTTTTTCTATTTCTGGTTGGTTTGTATGTTTTTCTCCTTGAGACTGTCCTGTGTTTCTGCCTCTTGCCATCCCGGGCTTCCTTTCAAAAACACACCCTATCCCTGAAATTAAGAAACGCAAAAAGGAAATTTACTGTTGAAAGGCCAGCGCTTCAGCTACCGCCCTGCTGGGGCTGGGGCTGGCCGGGCCCCCTCCCCGGGCTTTTCTCCACGGAAAGCTGCAAGTTTCATGTAAAGATGAAACCTTCTCCAGCTGGAAGGCCGGATCCCACTGGACGTTTTTAACTCCTGAAGGCAGGAGGTGTCAGGGCCATTCGGGATTTGACCGTAAGAGGTTATTTCCCAGCAGGAACAGGAGCCACACAGAGTCCCTAAAATTAAAAGTGGAAGCTCAGATGTTTCCTTCAGGCCCAGGGTTTGGAGGGGAGGGTGCCAGGACGGGGCCCTTGTCTCCTTTGTTGAGGGTCTGTCCTGCGGAGAACGGCAACGAACTTGAGCTGGTGCCGCGCAAGGCCCCGGCGAGCGGCAGGCTCCGGCTCACCGCGCGGCACTGCCGGCGGCGCGTCCACACTACCTGCAGCAGGGCCAGGAGCTTCTCGCGCCCCGGCCACGTGCCGGGGTGGGAGCTTCGTCCTGTTACTCAGCAAAGCGACTTATTTATACTGTGTTCTAACCTACACTCCATCTCTTTTGGTTCCGTTTTATTCGAAACTTCTCGTTCTAGCTGGCCAAAAATACTCACTATAACCACACGGAGACATTAACTCGCTCAGTGCTGTAGATGCTGTTTCGCAATTTCACTTTCCCTTCACGTGCAGAGCGTAAACCGTAATCAACCTTCCGCAGCTATATAACCTGTTACATTTACACAGCAACTGAAAGGCAAAGATATTACACGCACATAGAGTTAGGCTAGAAAAACGATGCACAGGATGAGGGAGGCTGTTCACTAAACCGGACACTGTCAGGAAGAATTTTTTTTCTGGAGTACTGAGTACGTGATATTCGCCAGCAGAAAGGATTATTTTCTGTCGTGTGTGTGAGCGCATGGGATTTTGGTTTCAATCACAATAATAAAAAAGGTTGGGTTGGATGAAGTATGTCTATTTTTAATTATGAAAACTGCATTACAATGTGCATTTTTATATACAAATTCTTACTATTTTTTTTAAATTTGCCTCTAGTATCTTCATTTCTAACCTAGTATATAGAGGTTTTTAGTTTTGTAAATACTTATTACATGCACTGTCTGTCATAGTAAAAGTTGGTCTAAAATGCACTCTTTTTGTGATCAGAAACTGGCCTTCTCTTCAGAACTAAAACTACAGTACTTGATTGTATTGACAAAACATCAATAAAACCTATTGTATAAAAGGAGGGCTCAGCTGTGCCTTTGTCCTGTCACTAACGGGCTTGCCCAGCCTCGCTAGGAAGACCATTCACACTGACCTCCTGCTCTGTATTCCCTTCTCAAATCCAGCTCACCTGTTCCCAGCAGATTGGCTTGCTAATTAACATTCTGATGTAAGAAGGTATCGCATGATTCTTGTGATTAAGGAAAAGACTCCCATCTCCGGAAGTTCATTTTTAAAAAAAAAGGATGAGATCCAGGCCCTTCCAGACTGGCAATTATTAATCCGAGGAAGTTAAGTCACAGTGTTGGGGATTCCCTTTCCCTTCTGTGTTTTTTCCAAGACATCTTTTTTTTTTCTCCTACATCACACAACCTTGTCTACAGCCAACCTCCGCGTCCCGAGCAGCAAGAGCAGTCTTCACACAGAAGAAACGGCGAACCGCCTGTAAGCAAACCGCCTTCAGAGGCCAAAAGTACAAAGAAAAAATGTTTTCCCACCTGATCTCTTCCCTGGAGGAGGAGACATCACTGGCTGTCAGGCGGGCAGGCTCCAAAAGCTGACCATGACGAACAAGCGATGCTCCTGCTGCACGTTGCGGGGGCACCCAGCACAGCCCCCGGCCTCCGCACGATGGCTGCACGCCGCACTCCAGCAGCCGCACTCCTTCCACGCGCTGCTCCTCGCTGCCAGCACGGCCTGCGAAGGCCAAGGGCCTCTCCAGCGAACCTCCCTGCACTGCACGTGACCGATGCTCCGGACTCACCCTGCTGCTGACAGGAGCCGCTGCTCCTGGGCTCTGCCGAACCTCGGCCACCGCTGACTGCTCAAGAGCAGCCACCCCAAAGCAGTTTTTACAGCAGATTTCCAGTGCTAAAACTCACCCCAAATGAAGCGCGAGTCTTGGCGACGCCCAAGATGTCTCTATCCAGAGCCGAACAACTCCCATTCTCCTCCCTACAGGAAGATTTTCAAGCAGTTCTAACAAAGTAGTTCCAGGTTGAGTCTTAAAGCGATGTATGGGGTGGGGAGAAAGAGCCCAGAGGTTTTCATATGACTCCTCTCGTCATTTAGAACGGAAGCACAACTTCACGACTTGAATAAAAAGACGGGAGCAGTGGCTAATTAACAAAGATAACTAAGTGATTTTATTTCTTTCCGAGGAAGTCAGAGCTAAATGTTTTAGTACACATTTAAATTCTGGCCTAAAATGACCTGTATTTTTTAAACAGGAGCTCTTCTGCTCTTCATGAATTCCAAACGTTTACAATTATAAAGCTGTTTTAAAAGGAAAATATCTTCTTTTAAATAATTCTGTGAATATGTCCACACCTCTGGCAGAATAATGTGAAAAACCTGACATTTTACATCTCAGATCCGCAGCCTGATACACAAATATACAATAGACGAAAATTCCACATGTTCTCAGAACAAGAACTTGTTTGTACAAGGAAAATCCATTAAAGCATCACACAGAAGCCTGGCACTTGAAGGAAGCAGACTACAGGAAAAGCTGGAAGGACCCATCGCAGCCAGATTGCCCACACGTGCATGCAGCCCGACGCACACAACCACCACGTGCCAACACCAACAGGGAGCGAGCTCCATCCAAGCAGAACGGTCACTTCCCAGTGTCACAAGAAATACGGGAGATTCTAGAGAATTACATTGTCACATTCAAATTTACAAACATTTCCACATGATGACTGCTCACCTCTTTCCTCCTTTTTGTTTTCAGTTATTAAAAAGCTTGTAACCCCTTTTAGACATGCCATACCCGAGCTGTTACTCCCTTTTTGACCAGCTCCACTGGACAAAGGCTTTAAACTTGGAACTCTGGAACAACATAGCTTTGCTAGAATATTCTTGGCCACACTACTAGCTTCAAATGCACAAGTTCTTTCAAAGACCAATAAATTCTCC